CCGGTGTTCCTGGCGGTCCTTTCGGTCCTGGTTGTCCTGGGGCACCCATAGGTCCTGGTGGGCATTCAAAGCAGAAGTCTTCTGGCCTTGGTGGAACAAAGTCAGCCGGCGCGTCCGGTCCCGGTGCTCCGGGTGCTCCAGGTCGTCCATCGTTTCCAGGTGCTCCATCTTGTCCAGGATTTCCTACAGGCCCTGCGGGTCCCATTCCACAAGAGCAGCACTGGTATGTCTGTCTTTTCTCTCGCGTTTCAATTTTCGCGTCTGATTCAAGCTAAATCCAGAGTTTCGTCAAAAGAAAATTTGTAGGAACTACACATACTTTCACATATTCTCCTCGTAATGATACAGCTCGTGTTCGGCAAAAATTTATTTCATCTTGTAAGCCAGATTGCACATTTTGCATGTACATACAGAGCATCGGAATCGCTACTATTGCGGTGAGGGTGGCGACAGTTGAAACGGAAACACCAAAGAAAGCAAATTTCTTCACCTGTTCCGCCTCTATAAGTTTCAACTTGTCATCCATACCCTGAAAATGGTGATAAAGTCATAACGACAAGCATGCTCTTCGTAAGTTCGAAATGCTAAGTTAGGCACTGTACATCAAAATAGCAAAAATTATGTAAGGGTATTAAGGAAAGATGACATAAGCTTAAAAGACATCAATAGCCTAGTTACTACATACGGAGATATTTGAGACTCAGGTTTGAAGGCAAAGTAGGTGTAAAATTTGCACTACAAGATTTGCTGATTTGGGTGCTGGTTGCGTTTTGCTCAGTTTTTGGCAAACAGTGCATTTTGTTGAAGTTTAAATAATAGACAGAAAAAACTATGTTGGTCTACCTTGCATCATCTTAATGAAGTTTTCGTCAGAGGACTGTTTTTAAGAAGTTGCGCAAGAACAGGGCAAAGAACTATAATTAATTTGGGGCGATTAACAAGCTTTTTTTCGCACTAATGTATTGCATAGCAGGTGAATAAGATACGTATCTAAGCCTATTTTCATAAAATGAAGGCATGATTGAGTGGTTAATAGTATACTCATGACGGTATAAGCTTGCTATACAAAAATAGGTGATTAACAGCTGATAGATTTTCCAATGTAGTAGATTTTCCAATGTAGTTTACGATGAATAAAAAGATGTCCGTGCGCGATGTTCTTGGTGATAAACGCGGTGCTGATAGATTGTTGAACGTACGCTTGATCTTTTATAAGGGAGATAGGGGCGTAACGCTCGATCGTCGGTTTTTGCCTTCGACGTTTTTGGACATCTGACCCTGCACCGGATCGGCGCCGGCAGTGCGCCGTCACCATTGAGTA